TGGAGGGTTAAAGATGAAGCTCCTGAAGGGGGCATCAGCACAGGGAGCAAGCCAGAAACTGGGTGGCCACCAGTTGACTCCCCCTGAGGACTGAACTTGGTCTGGTAACAGAGACAGTGGCTTGCTCCACTTCTTCTGAAGTCACATTCTACTATGGGCATCCAGGCCAGGAGTCAGGAATTAAATGAGGCTGGAGGGGAGCGGCATGAGGTGCTCAAAATTTGCTGATTCAGGACAGATGGAAAGCTACCTCTCTTGCCAGTGGGTTTCAGCCCCGGGCAAGTTCGCTATGGATTCGGTGTGACCAACGAAATGACAATAGAACGTTCTTGGGGTGAAAGGGTTTATCACCTGGCTTGTTCTCCTGGCGATAGGTGGAGCACTGGTATCTCTACCTCCGCCCAAAGCACTGGGCCGAGCTCTCTATATAGTGCAATAGCAGCTTATTACCTACAGGTGTGGAAGTGGTAGCCTAGCAACAGGCCAGTTGCATCATCAGGTGGTTTAAGTTCAGTGAGGATCCTGGCCATAGGAACCCCAACTTCTGCACACTACCCTTTTCCCAATATATGCTTCTGTGGGAGAAATAAGGAGCTTGACTAGTTTGCAGATAATTTGAAAGGAGCTTGATGCTAGGTTATAGATGTTTGTAGAGAAGCTGAAAGGAGAAATTAAATGAAGAAGAGAAAGGGAAGTTCAGCCCCAAATTACAGATGTAGGTTGTTGCATTAAGATCAGCTGTGGCTATGAGGCCGAAGGTGAACCAAGGGGCAGTCACTACCCCCAGGTCCTGAGAGGATACTGGCTTCCTTGGAAGGCAATGAGTTTCAGGAGGTAGGACACACATTGGTGATGGAGAACTGAGAGAGAATAAGCATACTATGGGAGAGGGAACAAGTGAATTGGGTCAAAACAATTCAGGAGAGAAGACAAGTACCTCAGGGAATGATGATGGGCAACAATTTGCTCCTTCTAGAATTTTCTTTCCTTGGCTTTCAAGACCTGCCATCCTGATCCTCCAATAGCTCCTTTCCAGTTCACCCAGGGATGATGAGCAGACCTTATGTGGCAAGGCACATTGTTGATAATTAAATAAACCCACGAACATGCCAACCTTAAAAATAAAATAGTGCTTTTTCTAGCAAAATGAGTTTATTTGGTGTGGATAAAATGAGAGTTGCTGTGGCCAGGATTCTCACCTGGCCCTGGTTGACTAGCTCGCTGCACACCTGTGGGCAATACATGTCTGTTTACTCTATTTAAAGAGCTCCGCCCAGTGCTCTGGGCGCAACACGGTGGCAGGGCTGCAAGGCTGCAGGAAAGCAGAGTAGAAGCTGGAGTGGTGGCAACGCCAAGGACAGAGGCCCAGAGGATGGCTGTGTGGGACGACTGCAGACAGAGGGGCCCAGAGGCAGAGACTGACTTGCTGCATGCAGACTTGCTCTGAGTGAAAGGGATTCTAGTGACTGACCTGCCACCTGAAAATAACCCTTTCACCCCAAAAACGATTTGCTGTCAATTTCTTTGGTCACACTGAATCCATAACGAACTTCCCTGGGGCTGAAACCCATTGGCAAGACATTTGGGAATGGCAGAGGAATTGCAGTTTAGGACAAACAAACTGGCAAACCATAGGCAAGTCCAGGAAGATCAGCTGTTACTAGATTTTAGGAGGAGAATTGGGGAGAATTGTTTTGAACTAAGTTTCACTGGAGCCCAAGAGTTTGAGGTTTGAAGGTTTCTCATTGGCTGCAAGTGGTGGTTAGTGTGTTGTTGCTGGAGCAGGGAGATGAAATAATTCTTACATGCAAAATCTCGCCTCTTGTCAAGGTAATTCCTACTTTCCTTCTTTCTGCTGGTTACAAGCTGCAATGAGTAGCAACTTCATGAGAACTCACCCTTCACCACTTCCTGACCCCATTTGAAATGAGGTTCCCTTTACTCATTTTCACAAAAGAAATCCAGAATTAGCCAGATAAAAAGTTTTACTATAAATCAAGGGTTTCAATCTCACTCTGATTTTATTTCTTGAAAAATAATGTGTGGGAAAAACTTGCTTTTTGCTTGAAAGGTTGCAAAATTTGGCTTAAACTGTTTGCCCAGTTCTGTACCCCAATACTTGGGAGAAAGGAGGGTGCTGATTTCAGTTGTGGTTTTGGAGTGAGAAGCCCTGTGGGTCAATGGTCACCGTTGTGGGGCTGAGAGCTGTGACTTGCCATTCTGGGGGTTCCCGCCTCCTCCTGCAGGGTTCAGGGTGGTTTGGCCTGGATGATGAGCGCCACCTGTAGGTAGAAAGCTGGATGCTAGGTTAAAAATCTGAATACTGCTTAGCGTTATTAAGGATCTGGAATCAAAGCCCTGTAAACTCTTTGACCCATTTCTGGTCTCTTCATCCTGAATTTAGTGTCATTGTGATTAAGAGACAATATGTAAGGTCCAGCCCTGAAAGGGAAGCAGCTCTAATTTTTGCAACGTCTAAGAGACCTCCCCACCTCCTTTCCAGAGAAAATAATTCATCAGGGGAGAATTCCCTTACCTTCCCATCAGCAGTCATTCAGAATTACTTACTTCTCTACGGCATCTCCACCTTGTTCCTGGAGCAGAGGGAAAAGTGTCCCCTACCTAAGGCTAATACCTGCAGGATCCCATCCCACCTTCTCCCGTAACCTGTATCTTCAACCCTTTCTTCACTTCTTCCTACCACTATTTAAACATGCCTAAGAGTCTTCCATCTTGAAAAGATTTAAAAATCCACAAAGCAAAAAGAACAGCAGCTCTCTGACCCTATTGTAACCTGCTGCCTAACTGCTTCTCCCCTTCACAGCCACCCTGCTGGCAACGGCTGACTCGGACTGCTGCCTCCACTTCTTCTCTTCCTTTCAATCCTCTGTCCACTGCCATCTCCCTGTCACCCCCCTCACCAGGAGACAGTGCTTGCCAGGTCCCCAGCAGCTCAAAAGACACTTCTCTTACCTGCTCTTTTGGTAGTATTAGGATGATACTCCCTCCTTTTCACTTGAAACACTCTTATGTTACGCATCACGGAAACACACATTCCTAGGCCCTCTCCCACATTTCTGGCCACCCATCTGGTAGATGCCACTGAAAGGGTATCTCGCCGCGACCCTCCTTACCCAGAATGACTCAGGAGACACGGGCCCACACAAGAGATTTTATTATCTGAAGGAGAAAGTGGCTGCCCCAGAGGGGGGTGGGGAGAGAGAGAGAGAGATAGAGAGAGGGAGAGCAAGGGGACAGAGAGCCAAAGAAAGAGAGGGTAGCAGCGTGGTGCCTTTTATTGTGGCAGATCCACTAGGTCTGTGGCAGATCCGCTAAGCCTGTTGCTTTGGGGAAGGGTCGGGATGTTTAGAGATAAGGTGCGGTAAACCCAGGCAAGCCCCAGGCAAGCCCAGGCTTAATTCTCACCAGCTTATGTGCTTGGGACCATGGGGCAAATGGAGGATAAATTACTATATTCTTACAGCCACTATAACCAGCTAGTTGCTCAGGCCATCCGTGGATGACCATGGAGTCATCTATGAGCATCTGCTCTCACAGTCCACATCCTCCAGCAAGTTCTGCAGCTGTGCCTTCAATATCGATTTGGAATCCCACCTTTTCCCAGAAGGTTCTACCTCTGCCAACACCCTGGTCCCGGTCACTGTCAGCTCTCACTTGGGACATTACTGTAGCCACTTGGCTAGCCGCCCTGCCTCTGTTCTAGCCACCACAGAGCAGCTGGAGTGATCCTGCACAAATAAATCACACTATGGAACCCCCCTGTTCTCAGTTCTCTGACGTTGCACCCTGTGAAAATTAATAAAGGGAAACCTAAGATAGAGATGGGAGGCCAGAAGGGTGGGCTCTCAAGCCATACCATTCCAGGTCAACCACAGGAATAACTGTCCATTACAGACCCGCAAAAGAAGAATTGTCAACAGGAAAGAATCATCCATTACAGGCCCCAACGGGAGAAGATGTTCTTTACATTGCCTCTCCAACAAGAAATGGATCTCCCCAGCAGCTCAGCCAATGAGAAACTTCTAAGTCCTGACCCTTACTGTTCTCCAACCGACTTCTATTCAAAACCAGCCCCTCCCAGCTTCCACCTTCTTGTTTGTTTGTTTGTTTGTTGGATTAATGTACGTTTTTTGCCACAGTTTGCATGTCCCAGATTGCAATTCAGTGTTATTCCTGAATAAACCCATTTTTTTTCCTATTGAAATAATTAACTGTTTAATTTTTAAGGTAAACACTCCCATCATCCTTAGGCTCTGGTTACGTGTCACCACCCCACAAACCCTCCCTGAGCCCCCACACTCGGTGAGAAGCCCCTCCTGATGTGTTTCAGGAACACCTGTATATTTCTTCCAAGAGCGTCCTCTGCACTGTGTCATAACTCTTCTGTGTCCAGACAGCTTCCTGAGCTCAGGGAGGGCGGGAATTGTGCTGAATCCATCCATCCCAGCGCATGGCACCTGTAAATATTCCGTAACAAATGGTGAATGTATTGAACCCCCGACCCCCACTTCTAGACATTGTATTAACAGATCAGGGAGCAAAATGCAAAAGAAGGAAAGGTAAGATGCTGAGAATTAATTGATTGATTGGGGTCTATCGGGGGACTTATTTCAACATTTTTAAGAGTCTCAGTTTGCACCCAGCTGGTTTATTTTTATTGTTTTGTAAAATGTTGGTCGGAGGCAAAAATGAAGCTGTTTTTGTGTTTGCACAAGGTCTTGTGACCCAAAGCTGTCGGTTTCATCCAGTTGTGGTTTGGGCGAGTGGCACATAATGCTCGGAGCTTAGGGACCCGGGGACACAAACGGAGGGAAGCCAGATGCCTGGCATGGGGTTGGCCAGCCTTTGCTGTGCGCGAGCGATAAAGGTGAAGAATTAGGGGGTGACTAGCTCAGCTGGGGCAGCTGTTGACAGCCGAAGACAGAAACTAAACAGCAGGGAGTGTTCCGGGAAACGAAAGCGAAAGGGGCAAAGTTTAGCCGCCCGGAGTCTGGGTGGGTGGGGCAGTCTCGGCCTGACGAGCGGAGCTGAGGATGGCCGCTCGCGGCTCCTTCCCGCTGCTCGTCCAAGGGTCCTGGGGCCCCGAGCCCCCGCAGAACTTGAGCACCAAGTTGCAGATGTACTTCCAGAGCCCGAAGAGATCGGGAGGCGGGGAGTGTGAGGTCCGCCAGGAGCCCGGGAGCCCGCCGCAGTTCCTGTTGTTCTTCCATCTGGAGGACGGTGAGGGGACCCAGACCCAGGGATGAGAGGGGACAAATGGGCTCTTACCCCAGGAGAAACTTAGGACAGGGGCCCGCAGCGGGAGAACCCGCCCGGCTCCAGGAACAGCGGCGGGGAAGGGCGCGGGGCTGTGCAAAGACAGACTGCGCCGCGGGCGCTGCGATTCCCCTTGCGCTGCGGTTCCCCCTGCGCTGCGCTTCCAGGCGCTCTGCGGGGCTGCCTGGAGGAGGAGGCAGAACCTCGCAGGTGATCAAACATTTATTGTGGTACAACCGAAAGGGGCTGGCAGCCGGTTCACTCCCTTCATTTTACAAGAGTTGCCATTTCATTGTAATTTTTGCCCTCTTCCTATGAAAGTAGTAGTTCCAAAGGTTTATGGGAACACAATTTTAAGGGAAGAGAAAGTTTCCAGGAAGAATCACTCCTGAAGGTGAATCCAGTTCCCGATGGGCAAGATGCTGGGCAGAACTCCTCAGAGGACGGCCCGCTTCCTGAACAAGTACCAGGTGGCAGGAGAGCACGATGCACCTTGAGGGGCGAGCAGGGCACCCCAGAGATGTTTGGCTTGAGTAGTGAGCCATCTGTTAATCCTTCATCTCTGTGCACAAGCAAGGTCTGGAGACTGGATAATAAAAAGAACATGTAGGATCTGGGAAATTTTCTAAGGTTATAAAGGGGCTGCCTATATTTTAAAAACCTTAGGCCTTCTATAATTAAACCTCCTATTTGTGAAGTGGTGGTGAGGAAATTAAGGCTAAGAGAAAGGTGGTTTGAGATGACAGAGGGCCTTGTATGACACCAATAAGAAGTACGAACTTTCTGCCACAGGCAGGCAGGGGAGAGACATGTCCAAATATACTTTAGGGAGATAAATTTGGTTGAAAATAGGTATATTGATTTCTGTTGGGAGAGATCATGGAAATCAGACCATGCAACGTTCTAAGTGAGGACAAGTGAGCTTCTGAACAATGCAAGCCGGTGTGGGGATGGAAGGCGCGTGCTTGTGTGCTGTTCTGGAGCTCGTAACTGATTCTGTGAGAATGGTCAACGCTCCATGTGGGAGAAGAGGAGAAGAGAGAGCCAGTGTCCTTTTCTTTCTGTTATGTTTTAGGTTATAAATAAAAGTTTTTTTTTCCTTTAGAGAGAAAGGTGTTACATACACAATGTGAGGAGTTGTGGGGGCCACTTGGCACTTGGGAAGGGACAGAGGTGCTGCCTAAAACCAGGAGAAACTTGGGACAGGGGACATTTTGTAAATAGTTATTGGAGGGGGAGGCAGAGTGCAGTTGATCAACACACAGTATCTTTGTTGAGGGTCCTCTGGTACCTCTTCCCTGAGTTTCAGGGTGGTCCTCAGCCTGGGAGTAGGGGTGACATTCTGAATTTTGAGCTTTTGCGGGGGGAGTTTCTTCCCCATAGACAGTTGGGTGGTTGAGTTCATCTGCTTGCTGTTGCTTTTAGGAAAGGGGAAGGACAAGTACCCACCAATTAGCTGCTTGCTCAAGACACCTGCCAGGTCTGTACTTGGAGGTGCATGACCTGCTGCCCGCAGAGTAAGCATTTTCCCATCAGAATCTCATAGGAAAGGATGTGGACAACCCCACTTCTGCCGTCCTGTCACTGGATTTGGAGAAGCATTTGGGCCAGAGGAAAGACAAGGAGGTTCACAAGCTGGGAGAGCAATCAGAATGCTCTAGTAGGGATCCAAACAGGAAAAGGGAAACCCACAGAGGAGAGGGGTGCACCCAAAAGAGTGAAGGAAGGGAGGTGTTCAGGGGCAGGAGATCTGTTTGGCTCAGAGCCCTTATGAAAAGATGGTGCGAGTTTTCCAAGGATTAATTTCACCAAGCCATGCTCAGTAGGGCATCTGTGCAGTGTACTCATTCCCCCAGGGTTCACTTCTCGTCAAGGGGCGTTCCTATGATACCGACTGTGAACATCACCATGGACCTGGCCCTCAGGGTCACTTCCTTCTTCTTAAGCTTCTCACTGTCCTCAAGAGTAGTTCTCACACTGGGGCCACAGACCCGCTGCATCCGGCTTGCAGCAGGTTGAACAGGCACAGTGTCAGCTCTGTCCCAGAGATGCAGGACCCCTTTGTGTGGGTGGGCGGGCAACTGCAGGGTTAACCAGCACTCCAGTGACGCTGATGTGCTAACACTGAAGAATCCCTGTTTGTGGACCCTGAATGAACAAAAAGGGAAACGATGATAGAAAATAACAAACAGCATACAAATAACAACCAGTGCAAAATACACCTTTGTCGTGACGACATCTTTCTGTTCCAGCCCGCAAAGAGGGAACGATTTCAGTCTTCTTGCCAGACTCCTTCCTTCATATCCCCGAGCCCACTAACCTCTAGCTCCACCCCCAGGCTGCTCCAGTGGCCCCTTTGTGTTAACCCCAGCATAAACAACTCAAAACATAGCACAACTCAAAAACTTAGAATCAAAGTCTTAGTGGGAAGTAGGAAGTCCCTGTTCAGTTTCAGTTTCCTGTGGGAGGAACCGCTTACTTTACTGTCACAGATTTGCCAACAATGACTCTGCTTGCCCTAGCAATCAATCCTAGCTCACAGCAGCTTCTCCTGCCCAGATACTCCGCACCCTCAACGGCAAGAAGGGGATCCAACAGGTGGAGGCCCCTCCTATAACAACTTTATTCACATACATTTGACCCTTGAATAACATGGGCTTAAATTTTGAGGGGCCATGGATTTTTTTCAAGAAATTTTTTGGACATTTGTAACAATTTGAAAAATATTTTCTTCAGCTTATTTTATTATAAGTATACAGTATATAATACATATACAAAACAAGGGTTAATTGACTGTTGATATTACTGGGAAGGATTTGCCTGGTCAACAGTAGGCTAGTAGTTCAGCTTTTGGGGGGTCCAAAGTTAAACATGGATTTTTGTATGTGTGGGGTGTTGGTGTCCCAAACCCTGCTTTTTTCAAGGGTCAGCTGTAATTCATAAAATAAGAATGAGCCAAATAATACTTCTCTGTAGAAATTAGTGTATAACAATAAGGAAGTATTTGGACATAGCATCTTACTTTTATATAAAGTTCACTGAATTTCCTAAAAATTGAGGGTATATTGACTTAAAAGATCTTAAACCCTGTTTCAACTGTGTACAAGTATCATCCTCTCTAGTCATAATTTGGCTCCTGACTATTGTTAGTACCACTGGGGTAAAGGAACCTATCTTCTCCTTAAATAAAATTAAATGAAGATGGTTTGAAGTTGGTGCAGAAGATAGACTGTCCACATGGCTAAGGGTGCTGGACATCAGAATTTCAGCTCTTTTTCCTCCCAGATTCACCTTCTCCTTGTTGCAGATCACTTACTAATATTACTCTTGTCTGCTTTCTTGAAATAGTGGTGTCTAATGTACTACTTGCACACACTTTCAGAACTGGCACATTTAGATACCTGGTTGGGACTCTACCAAAGTCTAGGGAATAATGAAGGAACACATCACAGAGGCCCAAGACTCCAGGCAAGTTCCTCTTAGAAAAATTAGCCTCATCTCTGGGTATGCAAGTCTCTCTTTATGAAAGAGTCTTACCATATTCTTGGTCACATCAGGCCAGCCATATCAGAATACAAGGTGTTAACCCAGCATGCGCCTGTGAACAGTAGGGCTCTCTCAAAGGTTCCCCTTCGCCCCAACCTCTGCACAATCTATGTTGACCGTACTTCCTCCTCTAAACTTACTGATTCCCGTTCTCCACGGTCTGAGATACACTGCTTCTCCTCTTCTCTCCCTGGCTACTCCTTATAACTCACATTTTCCTAGCTCTTTTAAGTGTTACAAAATCCAATCACAGACACTGCTTTAACTGAGGAAATAGACTGAAGAGAAGTAAGCTATTTTTGTCAGTATCTCTCATAGTGTGTGACAGAGGTGGAATTTGACTTTGGACTCTGGATTTCATAAAGTCTTTAGACTCTTTCATCGACCACTCAGTTTTTTCATTTTAGCCGAGCTGTTCATATGCTAAGTATATTATCATTTTTCTAAAATCTTCCCCATGCCTTCTTTTCTACTCCTTTTATTTATATTTAAGAGAGATGAGGTGGTTCTTACTACCACAGGTTAAAGAATTGATTGAAACAGCTTTTTAACTAGGCTCCAGGTCATTTGGCTCATGGCCACCCAAGTCCCCTCCCTGAAACATGGCTTTCAGTCATGCCGTGACTCAGAGCCCAGCCTTCCCTGGCCCACCATGAGGGATGGTTTTTTATTTCTCTTCACTCTGGAATATACATTGCTACTTTTCTGAGTGCCTATGGAGCATCAGGTATCCTGCTGGGTTCTTTAAGTTTTTTCTTCAGTTTAATCCACGAAACAGCTGTACAAGACAGTCTTCATAATTAATTACTTAATTAGTTACATAATTAATTACTTATTAATAGACAAGAAGACTGAGGCTTTATAAGTAAGGCTTACTAAGGAACATGCTCAAGGTTAAAAAAAAAGTTTAAAGATGGAATTCAAGTCCAAGTCTGCTTGCTAAACTTGCCCCTTTTCACCGCCCAAGTCCTCTCTTGGGAAACCAACCAAGCCATTGACTGATGGTGAGGAAGCCTGTGGAAACCATGGAGTAATTCTGTGAATAAAGATTGCTTGACGGCTGCACTTTTTTAAAATTTCAGTTCGGCGGAAGGTTCTGGAGAGAGAGAACCATGAGTTAGTATGGCCAGGACAAGGAACATTCAAGTTAACTGTCCAGTTGCCCACAGCACCAGTGGAAGTCCATGTCGTTGAGGGGGAAATTGCAACAAAGGTATGTAAAAGAATGAGTAAAATTAGGGTGTTCTTCCTAGGTGTGTGGGATGGGAATCTCAGTGAGGAAAATACAGTCGAGTAAGTATAAATCAAACCGGAGTGAGAAAAGCAGCTTACAGATGTAGAGGGAGCAAGAGAGGCGACAGGGAGGGTCTGGAACACTGGAGGAGTGGCACCTTCTGTCTGATTTTAGACACTTTTTGAAAAGCCAAGATTTAGAGGTTATAATACAGGCAGTTTGAGATGGAAAATGTTGGGTCTCTTCATCCTGGGTACTATACTTGTTTTATTTCTACATTGTTTCCAGGGGACAGTGATCCACACCTCCTGTAGTACTTCCTCAAGCGCAATATGGGGCAGAAACAGTATCTGCCTCATTGGATGTTGAATTTCTGAGGATTAAGAGAGACGACCTCTGTAAAGCACATGGCACAGGGCTGGTTAATAGTAAACACTCAGTAAATGTTATGGGGAAAAGATTTAGGTCTTACCCCATACCCCATACACGGGGTGCTAGCTGTGGTTTCTGTTATTTGTGACTCGTTTTTGCGAGATGCCCGTGCTGAGTCAGCAGATATGCCCCTACCTGGGAGGCGCATCTGGCAGAGTCATTGCTGGAACTTTCCTTCATCGCTTCTGTTGACCCTTTGTCTCCAGGCTGGGCTGGTCCCAGGAAGGTTTTCTAAATGTAAAGTAATTACTAGCCACTTACTAAGGCTAACTTCTTTTTTATTGGATTTTAGGAATCCAAGGCCAAAGAACGTGTCAAAGAACCAGGTAAGGTCTTGGTCGAGATGCCTGGCCTTCTGACAAGATGCTTTGCTTGTCTTAAAGATGGCCCTGCTCTCCTCGACGTCACAAGGCAGGGTCTGCTCGGTCTGCTCGGCTTGGAGATGCCTTAGGCTGCCTCGCCTACATATGGTCAGCCAGCTGCAGAGGGCGAACGCTGTGGGGTGGGCTTGTCTATGGCTTAGCTCAGAGGCATGGGAGCAGCTCTCCCTGTGGGCCTGGGAGACACGCTGCAATTGAGGGGAGGGCAACCTTTAGAGCCCACCTGTGCCTAGCTGGCCCCCAAGAAGCAAGGAGATGCTGTGTCAGTAGGTGCTCTGTGTGGCCAAGTCAGCTTCTGAACACTGCCTGGGGAGGGTACTGTCACCTGGAATCACAACAGGAAGGTGGAGAAAAGCTTCTGAGGGCTGTGTACAGCTGGGCATGCTCTTATAAAGGGCAGGGCATACAGAACTGTGCCAAATGGCTGGGCCAGCGATGAGGGAGACATACATCCAAATCTTAGGGAAAAGGAGTTCCAAAATGTGTAAATACTGTCCTCTAAGGTTGAAACTCTCTTGAGGACATGTTTAGATTTTCACAACTTTCTCATGAAAATAGAGCTAGGCTGAGAGCTGCCTTTATTTGGTGAAGTGATTGGATAGGGCTGTATAGATTGTTTTTAGCTAACATGGATGTGCTATTAAGTTGTAGAATCTAGTATGCATGGTTTTCTTAAGAAGCTCATGATTCTTAAGACCTAAATTTTAGATAGACTTCAAGATCTGCTCAGCTGCCTCCTCTGAAGCCTTTCCAAGCCAGCCCAATCCCTTTCTCTCTCTTTCTTGGACTCCTGGCTTGATTTTTGATGCTCTTTATTTCGCAGTTAACTAAGCCTCTATTGTGATGAAGCTTCTAATAGTCTTAGGGTTATAAAACTATCCTGCTGGAAAATCTCTTACCATTTGCTTAGTCCAATACTCTATTTTATAATTAAAAGATGTGTCCAAGGTCACATGGCAAAAGACTGGCCAAGTCAGAGGTTGAACTCATATAGCCTCACTCCCAGCCAGGTAGTCCTGGTTTGTCATGCCTGCCTTCTTAAATGCTAATGTAGGGTGTTATTGAATCCTTAAGCTATTCTTTTTTTTTTATTAAAGTATTATTGATTTACACTCTTATGAAGGTTTCACAAGAAAAACAATGTGGTTACTACATTCACCCATATTATCAAGTTGCCCCCCTCATACACCATTGCAGTCACTGTCCATCAGTGTAATAAGATCTTAAGCTATTCTTCATCTGGCATTAGGGTGTATATATGGTGTCACACCCAGCATACAAGGAGTTTTTCAGGGTGGTCCGATGCCTGTAATAAAGAACCCCCCAAACACATTCAGGGTGGTCAGCTGTGAGAGTGGTGGGGGCAGTCTAGATTGCTTCATGCAGTCATTGGGAAATCCAAACCGTGCCATCTTCTGACACCATTATCTTTGATGTGTGGCCTCCAGGGTCACTGCAAGGGAACATGGAGATTCATACAAAGGAGATTTGTATTGGTCAGACTTAGAAAGGGAATTCACCACTTGCACCCATATCCTATGAGGCAGATGAACTCTGCTAGGCATTGAACTATACGAAGTCTGGCATATGTCACGCAGAAAGGAAACAAAATGGATTTGGTGAGCACATAGCCTCTGACTCTGCCGTAATAAGCAGTTTACAAGCCTTTATTCCCTTTCTCACTTACCTTGTGTATCTCCACTAGAAAACCTGTAAGTTCCTTCTCAAATATTTATTCTTGAGCATAATAAGGGCCCATTTGAATAGTCGCTTACAGAATGTCTGAAGATTATATTGTACACATCATGCTCCCCGGACAAGCATAGAGTGAGAGTGACCTTGGGCATATATGTAACTCCTGTGGTCAACAATGAAGAGGAACAAGCTACCTGGGGTGATCTCTATTCAGTGAGTTTGAAGTAGCCCTGCAGCTCTCCAGGCTATTTTACTTTTATGTGAATTCCATAGTCATTCACTGCAAGTGTCATTTTTTCTTCTTCAGTGATGGGAACTTGCTGTTTTTCAGAATATAATGTGTTAGATGATGTCCAACCATGGTACTCGTGCTTTCCTCCAGTGGCCCACACACTCAACCTCCAGTTCAGTGAAAGCTTATTGAGTCTCAAGTATATATCATGTGCTAGCGATACAAGGATGAATAAACATGCCCCTTGCTTTTGAGAAGTGGAGTTCAATAACTGTAATCTCATGGTGCTGTGTTAAAAGTATATGTCAAGCGCTATGAAAAACAAGGCAGGTTTCTCGAAGAGACAAGGCAGAAAAGGGTATAATAAAATTGGACATCATCATAATAATAAGTTAAATGCCACATTTAATTTAATTTAACTAAGCACAAAGCCTTCTAAGACCTGTTTTTATTTGAGTTAGGCAAGAGATTGGGAAGAGGGCAGTGTCTGATGACAATTTACTTTGCTAGGACCATGATAGATGCATATGACATCTTGTGCCTCTTTTGTCTCCCTAAAATCAGATGGGTCAGAAGAACTGGATGCCAAACTATTTCCTGACAGAAGATCAAAAAAAATTGAAGCTATCTCAAAAGAATGTGAAAAGATTTCCTCTTTGGTTGCATTTGAAAATCTCAAGGCAAATGTGACTGACATAATGTTAATCTTGTTAGTGGAGACCATTAGTGGCCTTACAAATGGTGATTTTCAAGTGGAAATACTACGAGATTTTGATGTTGCTGTAGTTACCTTCCCAAAATATGTAGGTAAGGTCAAATGATGCTTCATGTGTATTACACTGTGGGATTTGAGTCACCTAGCTAATCGAATTTCCCTGAAAGTTTGAGTCTTTCTAGTAGAAGACTCCATGTTAATATAGGTGCTTTTTTATTTTGAAAGGGAAACAAACAGTTTGAAACCAAATTCTGGTACGTTCAATAGATCAAACTTCATTGTATGAATTCTGTGTGTGTGTGTGTGTGTGTGTGTGTGTGTTGAGAGATGAAAAGAGACAGAACACACCCAAACAGAAATCTAAAGTCTAAGGTTTAGATCTAAAGTGATTCTAAACAGAGAAGTAGGTGTTTTCAGATGTGTTTTCTCACTCAAAGAAGTAAATACTGATTTATTACCAGACTGGGCTTCCTGGGATGTAATACTACTAATAATAGCAAACACTCTTATAGTGTTACTGTAAGTGACATATTACGCTAAGCTCTTTACATGAATTCATTTATTTGTTCCTTTCGACAGCCTTTTGAGATTATTATTCTTCCTCATTTTACAATTGAGGACACAGAGGCACAGAGAATGCTAGTAAATGGAGGAACTGGATTTGATCCCAGGCAACCCACCTCTATACCTGCTCTCTTATCCCCTTTTACCATGTGTTTCCTTAGTGCTTTGATGGTCAGCACAGTTGCCGGAAGAGTAAGTGCATGTGCTGCAGAAAATGAGTGTCCTCCGAGGTCTGTGTGAGGAGCCTATAGACAGTCTGAGATTGGTAGAGGTACCTCCAGAAAGACAAGGACATTTTCCAGTTCTAAGCTCTCACTATTCCACGGCCTTGGCAGTGGGACAGTTCATTAACAGCACAGGTCATGAAGTCAGAATTGTAGCCCTGCGATTTACCTGATTATCCAAGATAGGCCAAATGACCATCCTCTGTGTGCTTTACTTTCCTCAGCTGTAAAATGGGGATAATAACAACTACTTGATTCAGTTTCTGTGAGGATTAAATGAGATAATGTTTAAAAAGTTCTTAACATAGTACCAGAGACATGGTAAGGACTTGGTAAAGAGAGCAATGCGTATTTCAAATTTATGACTGTTTCTTTTAAAGGTAAAGCTAAGTGGACTTAATTTTGTTCACTGTGAAAAATCTCAAACATCACTGTGTGCCAGGCACTTGTCTAGGTGCTGTGGGTCCAGAGATGGATATTCTTGGTGTCTGCTCTTGAGGAACTCATTTGGGGTAGGCAGGAAACCCATATGTAAATGGATAATAAAGGTGCAAGAGGAGAAGCTGCCTCCCTCAGCTGTGAACAGCAGGCTGTGAGGAAGGGGAGAAAAGGGGACTCAGATGGCTTGGTTTTGCCCTGCCTACTCCGTTCTGCGAAGTGGATGCTCCAGCAGTCCCAGTCTGTCAGGCCCCAAACACTATGTCGCTTCATGCCGCTGCTGTTCCCTATGCCTGAAATGTTTCCTTCCCTTTCTGGTGAACTCGTCTTCATCCTTCAAAACTCAGCTCAGTGACCACTTAACTCTGGGGATCCTTCTCTTAGGTCCAGGATCAGTCTTCCTGCCTTGTTGACCCCACAGCAAGCCACCTGTTTGCTTTCAAGACTTCCTCCCTCCTGGCTGGGGAATTTTCAAGGGCTTGTTCTGTTCATCTCTCTGTCCCTGGATCCTAGTGTCTGCCCTCAGTATTGATTAATTTGGAGGAGATGATTGGGCCAAGTCCTGAAGAAGGAATAGGACCGGGATAAGAAATTGGAGAAGGGCATTTCAGGCACAGGAAATTGCATATATAAACGCAAAAGAGAATGGGGTTTTCAAAATAATGATGAGTTTTTGTGTAATATGGAAAATAAAATGAATGGCAGGGAATATCCAGAGGTGATGCTTGGGAATCAGTTTGGAGTCAGATAGCTAAAGGTACTGTAAGCCTATCTAAGGATTGTGAGCTCGTGCCTGTGTGTACTAGGGAGTCTTGGAGGACTTGAGAAAGGAGTGAAAGCAGGAGATTTGTGTGTTTTGGAGACAGCACTGAGGTGGCATGTCGGAGGGTTGGAGAGGGCTGTGACTGGAGGCAGGCACACAGCTAAGGGGCAGTAATCCAGGTAGTATATTCAAATGTGCATTGTTGCTCAGAATCTGGGAATTGTAGCCACATAAATTCTTATCCCCCTTTCTCTCAATTAATTTTCAGATAGTTTATTCTATATAGTATATAATCATAATTTTCTGATTGACGGATTGATTTTGGTTTGTAGATGTCATGAAATTCATTGATGATTGTGCCAAGCATCACTCCATGAAACACCTTAAGCTTTCTCCAAGAGTTCTGGAAGTGACGAAAACAATCAGGGTTGAAAACCTGCCACCTGGTGTCGAAAACTGTAATTTGAAATCTTTATTTGAAAATCCTCAAAATGGAGGAGGAAGAATTGCCAGTATTGAATGTTTTCCGGAAGAGAGTTCAGCTCTGATTGAATTTTTTGACAGCAAAGGTAATATTGATTAGCTTTATTTTGTAAACCTTACCTGGCATAATCTAAACCATTTTAGCAGATTTTAAGAGCTATCAGTTGATATCTTATTTTTTATTTTGTATTCATATATCTCATTGGAAATCCTGTTAGCAGTCCTGTTCACCTGGAATGTAATGCTCAATGAGCCCAGTGATTCAACTTTAGAGGAGCAATGTAAAGTTTTGGAGCGATAAAAAGAGATTCTCTTGTCTTTAGCTATGATGGACTGAAAAATACTTTATTCTTAGAATCTTTGAAATACTGTATTTAAAAGGGGGTGATCTGTGTTTTAGCTCTACACTAGGTAGAAATTCTCAAGTTAATTTCAACAAAGGTTAGGTAAAGAAATACTCAGAAACACATACAGTTCCTGTAAAGCATCACTACTTCCCCTGTGACCTGTCAGTATCATCATTTAGAAATTGATAGGAGTGGTTTCATGTGATCAATGGATGCCTGCAGGACTGTTCTTGGCAGTGACCCTGTGAAAACCATGTCCAACCGAGCTGTAGGGAAATACTTCTGAGGGGTTTGTAGAGGTAGACTGACCGTTCTCTGAACCATATGCAGAGTCAGCTGGGAGATTCCACTGATGTTCAGAGGTCAAGGCTGAGGAGTAGGAATCAGGGGGCCAGACTTCTTAGGGAGAGAATTAACGTTGTGCTTGGCATTAACTGGAGGAGCATGAGACAGGACCATGTAGCATGCCACCTGCTCCAGATAAATTGTTTCATGGGAGTATTTGGAGGAAACTCTTACATATTGGGGAAACGGGTGAAGGTATGGTTTGGACTCCA